CATGGCTGACCACAGTTCGAGTCCTGGACCTGGAGGCCTGCTTTCTCATTCTCTCTCTCTTTCTCTGGTCAAATTAAAAATAATAAATAAATAAATAAAATATATATTTAAAAGCAAGTAACCTAGGGAGGGTATCTCCATGTCTCTCCCTCTGCTTCCCCAACACTTCCTCACCCTCACCTCAGACAATATTTCAGAATCGACTACAAAGGCCAAAACTGTATCTGAAGGAAATCAAGTCCTTTGTCAAAGAGGAGAAGCCAGTTTGGAAAGAATAGAGCAGAACTTCAGAAGCTGGAATGAGAAAGTGAAGTGAGAACTGTCTCCTTTCCTCCCACTGGCACCTTGCCAACTCCTACTCATCCCTTCAGGTCTCCTTTTTCCAGAGAGCCCTCCGGGGCTGGGGGAAATTGTGGCCACAGAGCACCCACAGCCATTCCTTCTAGTACGTCCGAGGAGATTTTGCCCACTCACGTGTGTGACCCCGTAGACTGTAGGCTTCCTGATGGCACAGACCTGGAGCACCGTTACATTTCCAGCTTTTTCCAGAGCCCCACACAGTATCTGGGACACAGTAACTGCTCAATAAAATCATGGATCAAACTGAAATTCATCTACTCCAACCCTCTCCTCTCACAGGGAGGTCAACTGATCTCTTACAGATTACACAGCTAGTGCATGCCAGACCTGGCAGTAGCACTCAGTAACCTGACCATCCATTTCAATGCTTCCCAGTTACCCAACACTAACTCCGTGTCATTAACTCAAAAAGAATCCAGGTAGCTTCTGAAGAGCCTAGCCAGCCCAGGGAAAGCAGAACACCAGTAGTCCAGCCCCTCCTCAGGTCAGAGCCAGGGAGGAGCAAGAGCAAGCAGAGGACAGGATGACGAGTGATGGGACACGAGCCGCGCCAGCCCTGGCCACAGCGCTCTCAGCAAATCCCCGACAGCCAGCAGTCGGTAGAACGAGAACCCAGGCTTACTGGCAAGTCATTTCATGGTAACTGATGATCTTGCCCTTCTAACCCTCAAGTTCAGAAGAGTAGACCGAGCACAATCTCACTAGGAGAGGCTGAGAAAAGCCCCAAATGACCCACGGTAGCTCAACACAGGACAGCATAGCAGGCAAGAACTGAAACATAAGGCCCCTGGCTTCTGTACACAGACACAGCACCCAGGCTGACGTGTGCTGGGAGCAGTGTTGGTGGGGCGATGGCTTATTGTCACCTATTGTCACAGGATCACAAAGATAACAAATACTCAGACTCCTACTCCATGTCTGTCCCTGCAGCTCCGGCCAGTCCTGCCCCTGAAGAAGCCCCTTAGCTATACAAGATGTGTCATTCTGTCCCACCGGGAGGAACACGTCCTAGTGCAGGTGGGGACAGTGGGCCATGCAATTTAAGAACAGACTCTTCTAAACCCAGGGTGGCTGACTGCAGCTGCCAGGGGCCTTCTGGCCTCCAGGCTTGCATTTGGGCCGTTATTGCTCAGGCTCTGAACCTTGGAGCAGCAGATGCCCCTCCATGTGTGGTGAAAACCGGCAAGTGCCAGGGGACTTCAAAATGTTCAGGGGGAAATGGAATTAAAGTCAAAATTCCTTTTGGTACAAAAAATTTGGAAATCCATGCATGGATTTTTCATAATATGCATTTCCTGAGAACTCTGGAAGAACACTCACATTTCTATCATTTCTGCAACTTCATAATGCCTCTCAATACAGAAGTTTCTTTTCAAAACTCATCATCTGGTCAGTACTACAGCCTCAACCTCCCCTTTCTCCTGTTTTATTCCAAGAAGACAGGAAATGGCTGGTTACCAAACAGATCACCAACTGAATTATCTAAAGCATGGAATCTGAGTCTATGCAGAAAACTCCTTGACCACACGGCTGCTTTGTACTGAAACCACCAACTAATCTCACTATTACCTAAGTTCAAACTAACCACAGCAGAAAAATCTGCTTGTTACACTGGCCACTAGAAAAAATAAACAATATTTCTTTCTAAGATCCTTTAGAATAAAGTGGTCTCAGGCCAGCAGGTGGCATGGTGGTTAAGGGAACAGGAATCCCACAGGGTCGACTGCAGTTTGAGTCCCAGACCTGGTGGCTTGTTTCTCACTTTCCCTCTCTCTTTCTCACTCTATCCTTCACTGGTCAAATTTAAATAAATAAATAAAGTTAAATTAAAGAAAAAAGAATAGAGAGCTCTCACATATACCACTTCATTCAATCCGCAAACCAAAAGTGTAAAGTATACTTCATGACTTTTTTTCTGGAGAGGTTTTTTCTATAGGGCACGTGCGCTCACCCGAAAGACAGAGACAGAGAAACAGAAAGCACGAAATCAGCCCCCTTGGGGGATGGCTACGCCGCAATCCCTGGAATTTTGGGCACATATGCACATGTGCCTGGTGTGAGTTTAAGCCACCAGGTATGGGACTCAAACCGCAGTCGACTACATGGAAGTCCAGCAACATAGCCGTTATGCCAACTGCTGGTCCCCCTGACTGCTTTGTTTTTTAAAGGGAGATTTATACTATAGGGCGCATGCACTCGCCGGAGAGACAGAAGCCACACCACAACTCCTTCTCCTCCATTCTTTCAGGATCTTGGGCACGCATACTCACGTGCCTGGCATGTGTTTAAGCCACCAGGTCCGGGATTTGAATTGCAATCAACTACATGGGAGTCCAGCAAAGTAACCACTATGTTATCTGCTGGTCCTTCATGACTTGTTTTTATAAAAGTTGAAACTGACACTGGGGCTGGCAGGTATTGTGGTGCTTAAGGGCCCTGAACTCCCACATGGCCAACCACAGTTCAAGTCCCAGACCTGGCAACTTGCTTTTTCACTTTCCCTTTCTCTCTCTCTCAGTGTGTCCCTTTCTGGTCAAATTTTAAAAATAAGTAAATAAATAAAAGTTAGATAAAATCATTCAATTAAAAAAAAAACGTTGAGGGACCAGCAGTTGGCGTAATGGCTACGTCACTGGACTCCCATGTAGTTGACCATAGTTTGAGTCCCAGACCCGGTGGCTTAAACACACTGGGAGCATGTTTGTGCATGCCCAAGATCCCGAGAGGAGAATGGTGGAGAAGGGATCACAGTATGGCCATCTCCCCGGGGGGTGATTTTTCGCTTTCTGTCTCTCTGTCTTTCTGCCAAGTGCACACACCCTATAGCAAAAACTTCTTCCCCCCTCCAAAAAAAACCAAAGTTGAAACTGATGCTTAGGCAGGTTAAATTATTTGTTCAACTAATGCTTCAACTGACCTGGGGCAGCTTATCATGCTCAGTGCCCTTCCTCACCCTCAGGCCTCCTGTTAAGAATTCTCTTTCTTGAGGCCAGCAGGTGCTGTGGTGGTGAAGGGCACTGGACTCCCACATGGCCAACTGTGTGGTCTGAGTCCCGAACCTGGCAGCTTGCTTTCTCACTTTCTCCTTCGCTCTATGTCCCTCTCTGGTGAAGTTTTTAAACAGTTAAATAAAATAGGGACCAGCAGTTAGCATAATGGCTATGTTGCTGGACTCCCATATAGTTGACCGCGGTTTGAGTACCAGACCCGGCAGCTTAAACTCACGCCGGGCACGTGTGCGTGCATGCCTAGAATCCTGAGGAGCAGAATGGAGGAGAAGGAGAAGGGATTGTGGTGTGGCCATCCTCCCTGGGGGTGATTTCTCGCTTTCTATCTCTCTGTCTCTTATCTTTCTGGCGAGTGCACGCACTCTATAGCAAAAAAAACCTTTCCAAAAAACCAGTTAAATAAAATAATTCTTTCTTTTAAAGGTCTCACATATTTATTACTGAACCAACCTACCAATGCAGAACTTAAAAAAAAGTGAAGGATCATTTTTTCCCAATAAACACAAGTGTCCAGGCACTGGTGACCATTTTCAGCTTGATGAGGCAAGACCATAGTGACCTTGGTACAGCATAAATATGTGGCCCACATCCTGTCCAGTTCCTCCTAGACCCAGCGTGGTTCTTCTCCAGTGTCTCCTCTTGGAGCTGTATCTGATTTTATTACCAGTTTTCATTCTAATCCACTGGGGAATGGGACGATTTTGCTTATTTTTTGCCCAGAAACTGCTTGATTCGGAGTCTTGTGAGAAGACACGGCGAAGAGCCGAGTGGACCGAACACACCACGATGGCGGAGAAAGGAAGAGCAAATAAAATAATTCTTAAAAAAAAAAAATTCTCTTTCTTAGTTCATGAAAAAGAAGAGTTCAGGCAGGTCTTCCTCTTTCTGCCAGTTCCCAGCATGCCTGGGCAAGATATAATCCTAACACAATGTATTTATGACATAAAGAATATCTTACTTATGGACGAACAATAGCAGTTAACAGATAGTAAATCTCACACAGAGTAGTAAGTAAACTGCCTGGTATACTTTATTTTACACTTAAAATAATTTTCTAGAAAGTATGGGAGATGTCACACATACTTTTAATAGTAGAGGGCTTTCACTCTGCTTTTATAAAGTTCCATAGTTCTAAATTTTTTTTTTTTTTTTTTGGAGAGGTTTTTGCCACAGGGCACGTGTGCTCACCAGACAGACAGACAGAGAAAGCGAGAAATCACCTCCTAGGGGGGATGGCCATGGCGCAATCCCTTCTCCTCCATTCTCCTCTCTGGACCTTGGGCAGGCACGCACACGCGCCCGGCGTGAGTTTTAAGCCACCGGGTCTGGGACTCGAACCGCAGTCAACCACATGAGAGTCCAGCAACACAGCCATTGCATTAATTGCTGGTCCCTTAAAAATCTTTTTTAGGCCAACTGATGACATAGCAGTTAAGGTGACTGGATCCCATATGGCTGGCTGCACAGTTTGATTCCTGGACCCAGTAGACTGAAAAACATGCCAGGCATGTGTGAGCCATGCCCAAAATCCCAAGAGGAGAATGGAGGAGAAGGGATTGTGGTATAGGCATCCCCTCTGGGGTATGCTTTCTCACTCCTCTTCTCACCCTATCTCTTTCTGGCATGTGCACACACTCTATAGCAAACTTAAAAAATAAAATAAAATCTACAATCATTTTGTATTATTTTTAAAAAAATCTGCTATTGGGCCAGCCACGGTGGTGTAAGAGGATGGGCACTGCTGGGCAATGATGGGGCCATATGGGAGGCTTGGGCTCAGGTCGTGGTCCAACGTGAACAAGCCAGGCTTGGGAGCACAAACCTGTGGTCCTAGTTAACTGGGAAGCTGGGGTGAGAGGATTAAGACATGGTGAGACCTTGTCACAAAAATACCTTTCTTCCTCCTTAAAAAATAAAAAAATAAATAAATAAATAAAAATATATATATACACACATACATATATATATATTTATTTAATTCCATTTGTTATTATTATTTTTAAATTTGACCAGATAGAGACAGAGAGAGAGAAAAAGGGAAAGTGAGAAAGCAAGTCACCAGGTCTGAGACTCAGATCGCAGTCGGCCATATGGGAATCCAACACCTTTATCCACCCCACCTGCCAGCTCCCCTTTCTTCCTCTGAAAGAAAGAAAGAAAGAAAAAGAAAGAGAGAGAGAGAGAGAGAGAAAGAAAGAAAAAAAGAAAGAAACCTGCTATTACTTTAATAGCAATGATTAAGATACTTATTCGAGATCACAAGTTCTATAAAGCAGAGCCAAGACTAGAGCTGAAGTCATGGAACTCCATGGGCACAGTTCTGTCCCACACATCTAATCCACATGTATGAAACACCCTCCTCATGCCAGGTACTGGCACTGGGCATTCGGTGGTGAACATGAGTCAGTGGTGAACAGTCACTGCCTATGTGGAGCTTAGTGCCCAGTGATTCTTATTCTGGTGCACGCAGAAGTGATTTCGGAACTTCCTGCTGCCCCAGAACAGTACTATTGCTCAATTTCAACAGAGCAGAGAATCAAGAGCTGACCTTTGAAACATGAAGCAGCCTTGGACACACACACCAGAAACGTGTGGAGGAGGAAAAAGCATCAGGAAGTCCCCCAGCCTCAATACCCTGCTTTTCTATTTGGTGGGAACTAGCCAGGACACGAAGTGGAGAAAGTCACTGGCACCTGCATCTGTTACCCCATCCCTTGGGCACCTTCTCCCCAAACTTCATATCTTACCTCAAAAGCCACACAGTCTGCCTGGTGCTGCCGCTCTGTCTCCTGCAGCTTGGCAAGCAAGTCCTGCACTGTCTTCTTCAAGCTCTCCACATCTTCACTCATGTAGGTGTCCACCTACAACCAGAGCAGGCTTGGTAAGACAAGGTCCCTGCCTTGTCACACACTGGTCTCAACCAGATCCCCCTCACAAAAGAATCAATGTCACGCAAAAGGGGAGTGTGTCTTAAGTGGCCAAGAATTCTGGCCACAGAGTCATGTGTATGAACACATTTTCTCCTGATCCTATATGGGACTCAGCTAGCCTCAGTTCACTATATCCATTATCAATTAAAGTAATTATTTATTTGATTTATTATGAGTATGTTTTAACTTGCTATAAGGTATATGTGCTCACCAGGAAGAGACAGAGAGAGGGAAAGTGAGCAAGCAAGCCACCAGGTCCCAGACTTGAACTGAGGCTGGCCATGTGGGAGTCCAGCACCTCAACTACCACACCACCTGCTGGCCCCCATGCTTGATATTTTTTTTCCTTTTTAATTTTTAGTGGTTACTATAGGGTACATACACTCGCAAGAGAGAGAGAGAAAGAGAAAGCAAGAAATCATCCCTGGGAGGATGGCTACACCACAATCACTTCTCTTCCATTCTCTCCAGATTCTGGGGATGCATGCACACACGCCTAGCATGATTTTCAAGTTACCAGGTCCAGGACTTGAACTACACAGTAGGCCACGTGGGATCCACAGCCTTAACCTCCTCACCACCTGCTGACTCATGCTCAGTAATTTCTTTTATACCCACTATCAATTGATCAATTCCTTAACAGGTATGAGTATGCCATCTTTACACAAAGGCCTTGTTTCCCTCCATCGGATTAGAGCTTTCTGCAGCAGGGACCATGCTCCTTTGGGATGAGGGTTCCCCAAGGACAGGGACTATGCCATCCCCATGGCAAGGGAAAAGTCCGAAAGCCCATCTTTTGCATCCCCAGCACTTGGCACTGAATTGAGCATGATGGATGAACAGATGTAGGCAAAAGTATACCCAGTAAGTCCAAGAATGTGATTCAAAGTAGAAAAAGGTGTCTCATCGTGGTTACTGCTCAGTCTCCTTTGCAGACACACCCGAACGTGGGCTGGTGGTTGGAGCTGAGCTGACATGTAAGGTCTCGCCTCCACCTCTGCCGCACAGGCACCAGACACCTCAGTTGCAAACTTCCCTTGAGCTTGGCAGAAAAATCTCTGCCTTGCACAGTGGGAAGTAGCAACACCTTTAAACCGGAGCAGAGCTACAGTGGAGAGGAGGAAATAGGATCCCAGCCTCTGCATTATGACAGGGTCCTGTGGGCCTTTATTCCCTTATCTGTGAAGCAGTGAAAAGCCTCCTTGCCACACCCTGCCTATAGGCTGCCTCAAAGACAGGTAAGATAATATCCAGCAGGGCTTTGAGGTGGTGAGAAGGAAGAGGCTGAACTGAACAGGTGTTATTATAATTTGTTGCTAACAACATATTAGCCAACTATGGTGATTCAAGAGAAGGGAAGCCTCCCAACTGCACATCTAAAGCAAGTGGCTGGAACCACAGTGTTGAATCCAGATATCAGTAAGTTATTGCTCAGTGCCCCCATATAGCTCACCTAAGATGCTGGACAGGGGAGAATGCTTTTTTTTAAAAATGCCAACAGGCCAGCAGGTGGCATGGTGGCTAAAGTCTGGACTCCAATATGGCCGACCACGGTTCAAGTCCCAGACCTGGTGACTTGCTTTCTCACTTTCCCTCTCTCTTTCTCTGATCAAACTGGAAAATAATAATAATAAATAAATAAAGCTAAATAATTCTTTTTTAAAAATTGCCAGAGGGCGTGTGCACTCACTACAGAGAAACAAAGAGATAGAGAGAGGGGAAGAGGGAGAAATATTCCCCCATGGGGTGTGGTCACACCACAATACCTTTCCTCCATTTATTTATCCTGCCAGGATTTTGGATATACATGCACATACACCTGGCATGTTTTTCAAGCCACCAGGGCCAGGATTCAAACTGTGCAGTGAGCCATGTGGGGTCTGGGTCAGCTAACCATTAGGCCATTAGACCAGTCCAAAGAAGAATGCTTTAAAAGGGTCCTGGAATGTCATTATTAAGCATTGATCTCCAAATAATTTTCTCGTAAGATTAGCAACATGAAAAACATTCACAAAAATATTATTTGATTATATGATATAAAACAAGGTGAAGACAGTAGTTACAGATCCTAAAAAGACAGTGTTGGGTAAAAAAGGAAAAAACTGAAAAAAGATATAGCACAAGTTCATCATATAAACTAAAAACAACATCCAGGTATATTCGATGAATACATTACAGTGAGTACCTTTTGGCAGAGGTGGAAAAGATGGGAAAAGGGCATTAATGGGACCCAGGATAATAATGTGCCGTGAACTGACGGGCGGGTCTGGTTTAGCTCTGCACTTGAGGGCCCAAAACACCCAATCCAAAGAAACTACTCAAGTAAACAAAAAACAAATTCAAAGAAATGCTACAGGGCTGGACTCATAGCCTCCTAGTTAGGGAGCTAGATCCCATATGGTTCAAATCCCAGCCCAACAGCTTGAAAAACACACTGAGTATGTGTGCATGCAGGCCCCAAATTCTGACAGGATGGAGAAAAGGTGTGACTGCCCCACCGGGAGGGGCTGCTATCTCTCTGTCTCTGTCTACATCGAGTACATGCTCCTGCTCATAATTTTAAAAGAAAGAGAAAGAGAAAGAAAACAAGTAAATGCTATATACATTACAATCTCAATACTGTAAATGTACATTTGCAATGAAGAAAAGCCAAAGGAACTTTCACTGAACTCTACTTTCCCCAATGGGTAAATTAAATTGGTAATTTTTTGTTTTCACTTTTCTGTTTTTAAATTTCCCAGCTTTTCTAGAATAATTATGTTTTGTATCTTTATGTAACCACAAAAAATGTAGTCCAAATGTCTTTTTTGTGGGGGGTGGGGAGAGGTTTTTACCATAGAGTGCATGCACTCACCAGAAAAAGAGAGAGAGACAGAAAGCAAGAAAGCATCCCCCGCCCCCCCGCAAGGTGGATGGCCACACCACAATCCCTTCTCTTCCATTCTCCTCTTGGGATCTTGGGCATGTACACACATGCGCCTGGCGTGAGTTTAAGCCACTGGGTCCAGGACTTGATCCATGGTCAACTACATGGGAGTCTAGCAACGTAGTCATTACACTATCTGCTGGTCTCCGAATGTCATTTTTTAAAAAGTACATACATGAAAAGAAATACTATGCAGTAATCAGAAAGAATAAGGTTATACAAACTAACAAAAATAAAAGGGTCATAATATATAATTTTTCATTAAAAAAAAAGGAAGCAAGGAATAATGCATTTGTGAAAAATGTAAGTACAGTATATACATATACTATACATGGATTTACACAGTATGCATATATATTATGCATATATATCAATAGACATGGTACTGAAATATGGTTGTCTAGGGACAGCAGGCGATGTGGTGGTTGGGCCGCTGGACTCTCACATGGCTGACAGTGGTAGGACTCCTGGACCTAGCTGCTTGTTTTCTCATTTTCTCTCTCTTTCTGTCTCTCTCTCTCTGATAAGCACACATGCACTACAGTAAACTTAAACTAATAATTAATTAAACAATTTAAAAAGAAATACAGTTGCCTATAAAAAAAAAGCACTATAGGGGTCGGCAGGTGGCATGGTGGGTAAGGCGCTGGACTCCCACATGGCCAACAGCAGTTCTAGTCCTGGACTTGACAGCTTGCTTTCTCCCTCTCTCTGATCAAAATTGAAGAATAACGATAATAAATAAAATGAAATAAGTAATCCTTTCTAAAAATTGTTTTAAAAAAACAAGATACTTTAGAATGCTGGTACTCAACTTTGGCTTAACATTAGAATTACCTAAAGAGTTTTAAAAACCTTGGGAACCAGCAGTTAGTGTAATGGCTATGTCGCTGGACTCCCACGTAGTCGACTGCGGTTTGCATCCCAGACCCGGTGGCTTAAAACTCACGCCGGGCACGTGTGTGTGCGTGCCCAAGATCCCGAGAGGAGAATGGAGGAGAAGGGATTGCGGCGTGGCCATCCCCCCTGGGGGGTGATTTCTCACTTTCTGTCTCTATGTGTCTCTTTGTCTGTCTGGCAAGAGCATGCACCCTATAGCGAAAACCTCTCAAAAAAACAAAAAACAAAAAACAAAAAAAACCCTTGATGCTCAGGCCTTATCTCAGAATGATTAAATTATGATCTCCCAGATGGTATTCAGGCATCATCTCCATTTACGCTTCCAAGACCGCGCTAGAAGGATTCACCCATTTCCATCTGTTTATGGTGGCTATTTCCAAGCAGTGGGGCTAGAGGAGGATTTCTACTTTTTACATTTTTCTGTTGCTTGAATTTTTGCATCAAGTAAGGACTACTTGGGGGCCAGACGGTGGCACAGTGGCAATGCAGTGCACTGAGGTTGACCCACATAGACGGGATCCGGGTTCACATCTGGAGGCCTCCCAGAACACACAGGCCCAAGTACCCACGATCCAGGGTTGGCTAGTGGTGGGTCATGGTGAGGGGACCCTACTGGGAGTGCTGTCTCTCTCTCTTGTTCATGGAAGAAAACCACCCCCCCCCTTTTTTTTAAATATTGTTCTTGTTTTTAGTGAGAGGGAACACACACACTGAACAAAGGGCTGAGGGAAGAGGAGCCCCTGCCCCTGGCCAGGCAGCAGTCAGCGTAGCATCCCTCTGACCTACCTCAGGTGGGCTGCTGTACAGTGTTGGGGGGCTCTGATTAAAACCATTGGGCTTTTCCAGAACCACCTGTTCAAAGGAAAATAGAATTGATAATTAAAATAGTCCCAAACAACTGACTTTGAAACATTCTCCTAAGACCTGGAATCTTAGAAAGGGTGGGATGGAGAGAAAGGAAAGAGGGGAGGAGCAGGGAAAGGACTTCAGTGTCTGTGGGAAAATGGAAAGGAGACAGGAGAAGAGACGTGTGTGAAGCTTGGAGAAGGAATGCCCTAACCCTGGAGATAGAAACCTTCCATCAGAGTAGAAACTAGCTGGCTGTCCCTCCTCGCCCGGAAGTACAAGCAGCTGCCTGCCACACACCAAGAGCTCCCCTTGCCCCAGGGATCTTGCCAAGGCTTGATGAGGCATAAATCAAAAGAGGAAGCAGCTTTTGCTATAATTTTTCCCAACCCAACTAATTATTCATCACGTGACTGCTTGTTTGTGACGGCAAGGGGCCTGGGCTTTGAAGGTAGTCTCTGGGCATATCAGGTTCTTCTGCCACCTCACGAAGCTCCTCCCACTAGCCGAATGGGAGCTTGGCATCAAAAGTCTACCTGTGGTCGAGGCAAAATGAAGTAGGGAATGCGGGCCCCCCAAGCCCCAGATGAGCCCACCCTATGCTAGTACCAGTCATGGAGTCACAGTTCCCCCAGGGGAGTGGGGACAGGGACTGCTGGAGAAAAGGCCATCCCATCCAAACCAAAAAGCAAATGAAGGAGATACAGCTTTGTATTACAACAAGATTGACCACAACATCCATATAAAGAGGCATGCAAATAACTTAAAATAACTGAATTGATATAAATCAGATTTCTATTTATTTATTTTCATTGCCAGAGGGTGCATATGTGTGCTAGAAAGAGAAAGACAGAGACAGAAAGCATCCCAAATGGGGCCTGGTCATGATGCAGTCCTCCTTCCTCCACGTCTCTCCCACCAGGGTTTGGAGCAGGCATGCACATGTGTCTGGTTTCTCAATCCACTGGGGCCAGGACTTGAACTGCGGTCAGTCATGGGGATCTAGCTCCCAGTGCACAAGGCCTAACTGCTGCCCTTCAAGGCCAATCATACGTAAATCCAACCCTGCACAGTGCTTTAGGAGCAGGTGTTTCATTCACAGGCGGGAAACAGTAAATCCAAGTGTGCATCTGCTGGAAGGCTCTAACCAGATCGAGAACACTTGGAGAAGCCAGCATGACATATCCTCTCTCCCTTCCTGGCAGCAATTCTAGACTCAGCACCCACCAGGTTATCAGCAGTGAGATGGCCTGCCACAACCCCACCTTCACCTTGGGGACCCAACCAAGGACCATTTCCTATTACCTGTATTTCCTGCCGGTGGAGAGAATCTCCTAGATCCCTGTCAAGCTTGCTACTTATATCCTCCCGGAGCTTCTGGAGGCAGGTCCTGGCCTGGGAGGGGAAGGCAAGAAACTTGAGCTTTAGGGGCGGGAAAGAGAAC